TATTCCAAACATATAAATATTGTTAGTGTTTCTGAGTTGTTTAGAGTGTTCTGGTTCTACCATTACTAAAAATATACATTTTTGGGTGTTTTAATGCTAAATGTTAATTATCAAGGACAAATGCTGTATATATATTTTCACATTCAAAATCTTTCAACAATATTTTAATGCTTTTAATATGGTTTTGTGTATCTATCATCACTTCTATATATGTGTTAGTAACATTTCCTGAACAGATTTGAAATAATTGTGATATAAGGAGTATTTCAGTATTGTATGAATATGATGGTTATTAACATAAATTATCTGTCTAAGGCATGGAGACATATACATATCTTAAATGCGAATATTTTTGTAAAGCATCTGGTATTTTGTGTACTTCATACTTGTACATTCTACTAGAAGCTTGCCACATTTTATGTGAATACACGTAATAAATTTGGAATTTCAACATTCCTTCCCCCATTATAGGGTTGGACTAATAACCCTGTGCTCATTTGGTTAATGATGTTTGTTGAATTTCACACAAAACTACTTGAGGTCATCTGCCCTAACCATCCCTAATTTAGAAATAACAGACTAGAGGGAAGACAACTAGACAATACCACCCTAGCCAACTCTTGGGCTAGTCTTTACCAGCATGTTGAGTGATGGGATTCGAATTGATGACCTGCAGCAGTTAATAACGAAATGCTCAAAATTCAAGGAAAGGTCAGCAATAGTAAACAATCAATATCAATTTCTGTAACTATGCAGATTGGTGAAATAAGCATTTATATATTCTCTATTTTGTAACAAAGGTATGAATGCAATGCATTTGTCATTAATTTTGAATTTACATGTAATGTTTTTATGTATGTTTATCACAGCTATAAATTATATACTAAGATGGGAACTTATGATTTTGTATATGTTTAAAAAATCATTGTATATTCAATGCAAAATTTAGTTGTATGTAAAGGAGCATCTTTTTGCAATCTGTTTCTTGAAACAGACATAATTGTATATCAAAATATTTATAGATAAGGATCCTCACATCATACTGGAGTTGGATGAGCATTACCTGTAAATATCAGTAAGAGGTGTGAATGAAGATGTGCAGAGTTAATTATTATCAAACCAAGAACTGGTGATTCCTTGTTGGTTGAGATACTGGTAGGAAATGACTAGTAAATAGGAAGGTGGAAGGTTTCAGTATCTGTTTTTCTTCACTTGCTTCTTAGTTTGCAAACAGATTCTACACATTAGCATTCAAGCTACCATTTTACAGGGACTAAAGACATGAATACTCTGTTACTGATAACTAAACAAATCATGGTTTAACTTTAATAAGCTAAACCAAAGAATAAGCATAAAAGCAAATTGTATCATTTAAGTTTAGGTAGTCCAGTGAAGTGCAGAAAAATATTTCGATTTATGTACAACAGATAATTGTTGCGTGTGCAGAAAAGCTTATTAACCCTATGATCATTTTTTTTATTCATTTTTGTTTTAAAAAGTAGGATAAAAATATCTATTATGTGGTTTATTACACAAAAATGAGGAAACAATAAAAGACAGCATACTACAAACACCACAATTTCTACTTAATTTTCTGAAATCTTTGCTTTATATTAATTATTTTATTTAAACAATGCTATACATGAATAGATTATGTCTTCAATAACTATTTTGAAATAATATCTAGAAATTACTTAAGATTTAAAACTTGAAGCTATATTTTTATACTAAAGATTTTGTTACCAATTGAAATTACTATTTCTTGGGAATTTGCATTAGTTAAAACCAAACCTATGGATGAGATATAAAATTCTTCACACAGAAAAATTATGAGCTTTGTTGCTCTTAGTAAGGACAATTATGCTGAAAACATTCCCATATTTTTCTCTGTTTAGGGTTACTGGTATCAAAATTACTTCAAGTTCTGTTAAGTGTGTTTGTTTGTTTTGAATTTTTCACAAAGCTACATGAGTGTTATCTGCACTAGCTGTCCCTAATTTTAGCAAACAGTGGGATTGACCATCACATAATAACAATGCCCATGACTGAAAGGGCGAGCATGTTTGGTAGGAAGAGGATTTGAACCCACAACCTTCCAACTGCGAGTCAAGTTCCTTAACCATCTGGCCATGTCCTATTAAGTCTACTTATATATATATATATATATATATATATATATATCTACACATATACTCCATTTACTCTACATTCTACTACACAGGGAAGACTGAACAATACCACCTTGTATGTGCCAATGAACAGTGTGTTTTAATTTCTTTGCCACAAAGACAGCATGAGTCATACCACTGATCTTCAAATAATAATTTCACTTGGATATTTCCTTAATTACAATTAATTAGTAATTATCTTTTCAATCTCAACAACTTTCAGAGCTATTGCAACATTTTTTTAATCTTCATCACCACACTTTTTTATTTTAACCAATGGAAAGGCATTGTTAAAGAAGCTTACTAAATGCATTAATATTATTATGTTTTTCTCTTCCAACAAAATATATATATATATATTCATATTCCGTGACATAAGCCGATGTCATGAACTTTAAACATTTACTTCCAATACACAGTCTACATATCTTTTGTTTAAGACCTTTTGGCAGCATGTGTAGATAAATGGATAACTATTAACTTTCATAAATTATAAAACCATTTAAAGAATTTTAACACAAAACATAAAAATGGAAACAATATCTTCATGGAATTTTCCTATTAATGTTATAAATAGGCTAAAAATGGAACTGTTTTTCTGATAACTCCTACTGGTGATAGCTTTATATATTTTTCTTCACCTCTAAAGATATTTAAAGAGAGAATACATTTAATTTTTATTGCAGTTTTAGAAGTGAAAATAAATAACGAAAATCAGAATTATTATTTTATTATAACTAGAATTTTTACATAGCTGTAATGGATAGTTTTTAGTATTAATGACAGGAACAGTATCATGAAGCTATTTCAGCTTATCACATACTCCTGTAAACTATTACTACAAGAAAGTTTCACGTATATGTGAAAAAAAAGTACTAACCAGTATCTGATTATCTTTATTTAATTACACAATTTACATTAAAACAGATAAAGTCTGATTCTTGTCAACAAAGACTTTACAGGAGGGTTCATTAATTTCAAACTAATACACACAGTTTAAATTATAAAATTCAATCCAATCCTACATTTACAGATGTAATAGTAAAGGTTTCTCAAATGTGTTGAACCAAACTACTATATTTAAAATTAAAATAACTAAAAATACTTTTATGGATTAAACAGTTCTGTTACCTATAATACACATATAGATCATTATGTGTATAAGAAATACAAGGCTAAAATTATACAGGGGTAAAAAATAAAAATGATAAGTAGTATTCCTAAAAACCACCAACAGATGTCATGTCCAGGCTGAAAATTTTTTTGTTTAAAGTTTTTCTGTTTCAACCTCTAGAATCAATGAACTGTGTGCATCCAAGTATGTGAATAAAGCAAATCACTTCAAAATGCATTGAATCCATTCAAAGACAGGCAATATTAGCAATCAAAACATTTTTTCTATTATATCTTTACAGAACACTATAAAAATGAAAAATAAAGTAACGCTATAATTTTACATGAGGAAAAAAATTCTAAAGCTTGACCAGATGATTTTGATACTACTAAAAATAATTCAGTGGCACAATTGACTTCATTTAACTCCTATTTTAAACTACTTACCAACACACACACACTCTTTAATTATGAAGTTGTTCCTCATTATTAGTTCTACCAATAAGTAATTGCACATATATTAGGGTGGGTTCAGATGGTATATAACTACTGAGATTATATGATTTTTATACTTGAAGCTCGCAATCTTGAATTAAAATTCTCACTTCAAAATTATTACCAAAGATTCAAGACACTCATACAAATAAACAATTTTAATAAAGTATTATTAGAGTTCTGTAACTTTGGAATCGTATCTTTTATATTGAAGGAAACCTTTACTTCTAACAACATTGTAACTGATGTTATAGATAAACCATATGACATTTGTTCTCTATATAAGATGTTGGTGTGATTGAACTAAACTTATAAAATTACAGAGATAACATATGTAATTTGCAGCTTTTGGTTACAAATGATAAATATAATCTACAAAACACATTTTCACAAGAAAACCAGTTGGTAGTTTTCCCAACACAAAAAGAAGTTTCCTAATAGCATGTATCAAATTAACAATTAGAGAAATTTACAGTAGTTTTCCACTAATGTCTTCTTAGCTGAAAAGTTACACTACTGTTTTTTCAGCTGCCCCAAATGAAGCAGGTTGATATAAAGCCAAAAATTTGTCCAAGTGTTGATATCTTTGATGTAAATATCAAAATAGTTTGATTACTATTAATAAGAAATTAAAATGCAAATACAATTCTATTATTCACCAATTTACTTCCAAGTCTTCCCATATAGTATTTTAATGAATAATGTTGTTTAGGGTTATGAATCTGAGATTTTCCGAGTTGGTCATTACAAATGTTTATTTTATTTTAAAATCAGATAAAGCTACCAAACCAACAATATATTACACTTTAAACAATAAGATGTAGATGTATATTCAGACAAGTTCCCAAAATTATAATCTTTTTTTATACAACATATTTTTCTCAACATTATGGAGACCACATAAACTTAATTATTTTCATAAGTTAATGATACAGTTCATAAGACCATAACAAGCTGGAAAAAATCCTAATTAAAATTTATACAACCATGGTTTCAAACATACAAGCTTTTAAAATAAAGGTGATTTGTAGTTTACTACTATTACATGTAGTTCTGAAGTGCTTATTTGATACTTGTTAATTCACAGTCAACATGTAGTTCTAAAGTGTTTAACTGAAAAGTTTTAATTCACAGAATCAACATGTAGTTCTGAAGTGCTTATTTGATACTTGTTGATTCACAGAATCAACATGTAGTTCTGAAGTGCTTAGTTGATACTTGTTAATTCACAGTTAACATGTAGTTCTGAAGTGCTTAGTTGACACTTGTTAATTCACAGTTAACATATAGTTCTGAAGTGCTTAGATGATAATTGTTAATTCAAAGTTTCTAATGTGAAAAAAGAACAGAATTATATATTTAGTTCCTATTTACATTAAGCTTTTACTTATTGTTTCAAAAATGCACATCTTTATATACTGTACAGTAATATCAATTATAACTTTACCCAGACGTTTATCTAAATTTACATATTTGTGTTTTCAGTAAGTAAACCACCTATACTGTTTTCTTTCATAATCATCATTCTAGAAAGATACATATATTTCCAGTAAGAACATTTTAAACATATCAGTGTATTAGTCTTGAAATATAATGAACCATCCTTTTTAATTCAAAAATTTGTAATACTAATACAGACTACTAATATAGATACAATACTTGTAAAAAATCTTACTTTTTTTTGAAACGTAACACGAACTCTTTTTTTTAATCATAATAACGTTATACACAACAAATTATATGTGTATAATTTTGTGTTCTTCTAGCAATAATATGGTACAGAATACAACTTCTAAAACTTCCAGTGTTATGAAAATGTATAAGAATAACACTAACATTAACCAAAAACATTTCCTTTAAGACAAAAACTTTGTTATTAAATGATGTTTCCAAATCCTTGTGTTTAGTTTAAGTATAAAAACATCACACATTCTAACACTCAAGTCATGAAGAACTTAGAAGGGAGAAAAAAACATTCATAGACACAGACTAGTTATATACATAATTTACATGTAACATCAATAATTTGGTTAAAGTTACATTTATTTTCAAATTATAACTAGAGATGGCCTTTCACAACAATCATGAATGTAGACAATAATTCCTACAATTAACTGCTTTTCTTTAACTGAAACATGGGCAAATATTTTTCACCAAAATATAGGAAACTCCTAGGACTACCTTAATTTAAATGTGTTAACAACAATTCCTAGGACTGAATGTCTACACTCAAAACATAGATGGTGTTGAGTGGTAATGATTCACTCATTAACTGTTGATATATGCTGGAAAAAATGTTCTTCTTGACTAAAGTGTATAACTCATTTGCCAGATGTGAATTTTTTTCATTTAACATGTACTACCTATTACATATATCCTTTTTATTTTCAAGGCCAACAACAAACTTCAAACCTCTGTTTTGTTATAAATTAAAGGGTCTATTTACAATTTTATACATATTTTCCAATAACTTTCTAACTATACTTTTAATTTCTTACATAACTAAATTTCAAATACCTACTTAACAACAAACAATTTATGTTAACTTATTTTTGTAATTAGAGGCCTACGTACAACATCTGTTAACCTGGTTAATATCTACATTTAACCTAAGATATAATAAAAATTTGCAAAACTACATAAACAATATTAAATATACAATATATTTAATGAATAATGCTGTTTAAAGGCAATGTTACAACTACCTTTTCTTTTATGTTGTCATTATCTTTTTCATACATTACCCAGTAATTTATTAGAAAATACTTATTTAAATATACTTGTATGGATGGATAACTTATGGTGACAAAGTGATCAACTAACTCAAAATCAGACAGACCCAAAGAAATTTGAGTCTAAGAGTTGTGTACCTGGAGTTGTTCATTACAAATGTGTGATTTTATTTTAAAATCAGCTAATATTATCCTCCTTTTGCAACTTGCTAGTACTAATCACTTACTGAATGTTTTTCTTGATTTTTTTAAATAATTTACAAGTTAGTGGAATTAGGTTCTGGCTCCCCACCTCCAAAAAAAAAGTGTACTGAAAACAAAATGCTCATCTTAATTAATTTATAAATCTAAAACTCCTTTACATATATAATAATTAGAAACAGAAGATGCTCTCACTCTGTCTTATTTAAACCATGCCAGGATCAAAGATGTACTTTGTCTATACTGAAATATTAGCTTTAACTCCCCACTATCAAAATTAATCTCAAATAACTAAAACAGTTAAGTTTGTACCTCTTAAACTACAAGCCATAGTAGTAACTGAGCCAATATTTATATCATCAATTTCATAAACAACAACTGTCGTGGCTCGAATTATTAATTATTTTTACAATAAATATATACTTTTATTATCATTTTATTTGAATTAACTTTACTATTTTTCAAGAAACTGCCAACTTATCTTCTTGTTAGTATCATGAAGTTGGATTTGTGATTGTTGGAATTGTTTTGTTCATCAATTAGTGACAAACCTGGGCCTATAATTGCCTAGAATAAAAATAAAATAAATTTAACATAATTCAATCATCTGTGACTGAAAGACCCAGTTTCCTCATCATTAGGAAAGGATCCGACAAACAATTAAGCAATGCATGTGCTTTGGGAAGGAAACTGCTAACTAGGAAATACTGACAGAAGCAAATGAATGAGTCATGCTAAAGGAGCCAAATATTAAATAGTAAAGTATCACCAAACCATGTACACTGTGGAAAAGCAAATTTATCAAGCTTGAAATAGATGAAGATAGTTCCATCTTCACATATTCAATCCATTTTTGGAGTGCCACAGTCTAGTTCAGAAGTGGCTCTAGTAATAGCGAGACCCTAGACAAAAGTCATACATGAGGCCCCTTGACATGAGAAAACAATTTCAGATATTAAGTGAAATACAGCATCAATATAAGATCACAACAATTTATTGGATAGGTACAATTACAATTATATTTCATTTTTCTGCATTTAGTAGTGCTAAATTCATCTATAGCAGAGGAATAATCTAATTTTGAAGCCAAATTATGTTCAATAAACAGAATAGTCAATGCTGATAACCTCTCTTGACACATAGTACATCTTAAGTTTTTATTAATTTCAATTTTGAAAAAGATCTTTCTGCTCAAGTAACTGTAACTGGCATTGTTAATATAATTCTTAATGCTACAAAAACATTAGGATAAACTTCAATTAAATTATCTATAATATATTTTAGTGAATCATGAATGTCTATATTTGGAGGTACAGTCCTGATACACATTCTTAGTTCCTCAAGTAATTCTTCGCCATTGATATCAGAGTCGGATGACTCAGACAGTGTAGGTAGCACTTGTAGTTCTTTACAACACTGTAAAAGTTCTTCATCAGACTTGTTCTTTAAAGATGAAATATTGTAGAGAAAACCAAAATTGGTGTAGTAGGTTTTAACCCCTCAAATCGAGGTCCAGCACTTGCATGAATCATGTTGATGATGATATTAAAATATTCAGTTCTGAAAATGTCTGCAAGGTTAGGACAGGTTTTGTCTGGACACTCGTAACAAAAATCTATTTTCTTCTTATGTAGCTTAATTTCTTTAAAATTCCTCTGAATGCCCATTTCATCAGCTATTTCATTGGCAGTCACTATACCAGAGTCAAACCCATTTGTTCTATAATTATCTAGCCAGCATAGAAATTCCTCAAAATGTTTCAATGCAGTATCCAACTGCATATTACACTGTTGCCATACTTTACTAATCAGGTTTATTTGAACTAAAATATCATACCACACTATTAAAGAAAGTACAAACTCGTATGACAAAATTTATTCTTGTATCAAACTGAATTCGATACAAAATGTTGGATCACAACTTATTTCTGACAATTTTTCTAGGCAATCAGCAATATCTTTTAATTGATATCAGGCAGCCTTCACACTCTCCACTACGCATTCCCATTTGGTTTTGGCCAAAGGCTTGAGAGTAATATTTACTCTTTCTTTTACAACAATCCACCTTTTGGATGAACCAGAAAATAATGTATACAGCCTTTGCAAAACACCAAAAAATAATCTAGCCTTTGTACAAGATGCTGCTGCATCACCAAGCACTAATTCCAACTGTGACATGTACAAGGTGCAAAAGAAGGATAAAGGATTGACATTTAGTATTATTGTTTTTACACCACTTTTTTCTCCATTATAATATCCTTGTCCGCAGCAGTTTTTGATGTCCAGTCCTAGGTTGTTGATTTGTGAAAGTACACAATTTGTTAATTCTTCAACCATAGTTTTTCTATAGATATAAATCTGACAAAATGTTCCTCAATGTCTTCCAACTTTTCAGCAACATAATGCAATACCATCGTCATTTGTTTTGTGTGACTTGCGCCTGTAGTACAGTCTAGAATTATTGAATAATATTTTGCTTGCTGCATATTTTCCATAACTGCAAGTTTAACATGTTTGGCCATCAATGTTATTAACTCTTTTTGAATGTTTTTTCCTATGCGTTGTAAGTGTTCTCAAAGAACAGAATCAAACTTTGCAGTAAACTTAGCCAGGTCTAAAAAGTTTCCACTTCTTTCCTTTTCTAAGTTATCCCTATGTCCTCTAAATGCCATGTTATGCAATGCTAAATACTGAATTATGGCCAAGAGTCTTTTCAAAATATCACGCCAGCATTGCTTTTCCTGCTGTATTTGATTTTGAATCGCTGTATCAACAGTCTTCTTGCATTTCAGCCTCTTTTCTGATTCCAACCATTTCAAGGCACATTCTATATGATCTGAACTGTTCTCATAAGATTTGAGATGACTACTGAGATTATTCCATCATTACAGCTGTGAGATACTAATGCTACACTTGAGGATGAGAATAGACAACAGGCAAAATAATAAACAATGTTTTTGCTTGCAGAGTAAACTAACCAATGCCTTTCTGGTTTTTCCTTGTTGCTTAGAATTCTTATGCAATGGAATGAGGAGAAATGCCTGTTTATATAATCCACTGGAAAAGTTACATTTTCTTCTCGAATCGGTCCTTTAAGAATAAAATTTACTCTATCTATATCCTGTATTGGGAAATGCCATTCACCAAGATCATAACTAATAGATTTATATGTTAAGATCATCAGATTTTAATGCATTAATGTTAACAGAATCTTGCTGATCTTTTGTAGACACTTCATCAGATGTATTTATCAGAGCATTATTATACTCACAGTGAGTGGATGTGCTTTGAGAATCTTTTCTCTGGGCCAAACCATTTCCCGCATCTTCATTTTCATTCTCAACTACACCTTCAGACTGAATTTCTTCTTCCTCCTTTAAATATTTCAGTATTGAAACGTAGCTTTTTTGCATAACCCAATTCAAATTTTCTGCCCTTGTCACATTCTCTACCACTCTTAGACATTTTTGCAATGGGTATAATCTCATTATTTGTCACTAACCACAGGCAATTCACTATACAACAAGAACCACTAAATTCATCCAAGCTTCTGGTTTAATAGCAGTTTAATTCAGTATTACTTCATGATTTATCTTACCAATTCTACCATTATAAAAGCAGACTTGTATTCTCAACAGCAACTCAGTTTAATCTGAAATTGTCAAATGTAGTTAACAAGAAAATAATTGAATTAACATTGACAGTCTATTAATGTTTCTTTGATTTTATTCTTATATTAAGATTCAAATTATGTTTTGCAGAGAGAATTTAATATTATTTCAAATGTCAAATAACAGTTAACAGTGCTAGTTACAAGTTAGCAGTGGTAACTATTATTTTAGCAGTAATAATATTTCAAATATTCTACATTAGGTTAAGATTCATGAATTAAAACCATCTGTAAGTTGAAAGTGTTTGTATGGTTCTATATTTGCTAGAATAAGATAATGTTCAAAAAATTATATAGACAACCTGTATAACTGGTTCAAAAGGTAGAAAAATAGATTTAGTGGTGGTAATCCATCAGCAACGAAAACATCAAGCAAATAATTTCACTAAAAACAATAGAAATCAGTAATGCATCAAGACTAAATCATTCAGAAATAGAAGTAGTTGCAAATACATATTGGTCCTACAACAAAAGCCATTCCTACTTATAACAATAGAAATCAGTAATGCATCAAGACTAAATCATTCAGAAATAGAAGTAGTTGCAAATACATATTGGTCCTACAACAAAAGCCATACCTACTTATAAATGCTATAAATATAGCACTGGAATATAAAAATATATTTCTTTAATAATACTAAGTTTTTAATCAAATTTTTAATGATTGTGACTAAAATAAAATTGATCATTAAATTTATTACAAACCTATAGCTCCAAAGTGTAAGCAGTTTTATTTTTGGCAATAATGGAGCATGAACCCCAGAGCTGCAAATCCACAGTCTGGCACACTAACCATTGGATCAAACTTGGCCACATACATGCCACAAGAATGCTTGCTAGTTAATTTCATTGAAAAAAAAACTTATAACAGATTTCTTCTTATTCAATTAACAAGTGAAGCTCTTACTGTTTTAAAACAAGCTATATTTTCATTGAATAGAAAAATTAAAGATATTACTTTTGTGACACAGATTATATTTTCTCTGAATAGGAAAACTAAAGCTATTACTATCCTAATACACATTTCATTTTACTTAATAGAAAACTAAAGCTATTATTATTTTAGCATAAGTTATTTTTTAACTGGAAGAAAAAATATATATTATTTTACCACAGGTTAACCTTTTTTTACTTGTGGTGCTTAAGTTTTTAAACTTCATGATTATTTTTGTTCTCTTCCAAAGTTCAATCACAATTCTTTTAACAAGTCATAAGCTAGTTTAAAACATTTTCTTGATTACAAGGATTATAATTTTAAATGTTTTATTTACAAGGGTTGAGATATAATTCATAGTCAGTTTTTGTTCTCTATTTTAGCTGTTATAAACAAAGGTTTTAATTTAAACCATTCTAATAAGTATGAGATACACAGCATACAAAGCATTGTGATGGCACAGCAGTGAAAAGAGCAAAAGCTACAATAGAATTTAAATAAAGATATTAAAGTTATACAAGTATATACATTGTGCCACTTTAAATAAGTAGGGATAAGACAGAAATGATATTAGTTGGAATAATGCAACATTACAATTATTCTATCACTAGGAATCACAAAAAAGGACAATAAATTAAGTAAGAAATGTATTTTTGTATTAAATTGTTAAAGCTTTTAGAAAAAATGACAAAGAAAGCATAACTAAGGTAGAGTTTGAATCAAAAGAAGTGAAAGTATATTTTATAAGCATCAACTAATTAATTTTTGAGTTTATTTTAATGTATATAAGGTTGGCATTTTACGTGTGTACATTTTATAAAAATATTTAATTCAGATTAATCATGTTTAGTTGACAAGTTATATTAGACTTTAAATTTTGTGGTGTTTTAGTATTTGTGCCCATAGGTTGAAACGTGTGTTTTGGTTACATATGAATGTGCCTGTATTGATGCATTTGTGGTATTCTGAAATATCAAAATGCACTAAAAATGATGTATTCTGAAGCTGTTTGACCAATTCTACCTATTTTGGATCATGTTTTCCACACTCCAGGTAAAACTAAATGAATGAAATAACAAAAAGCCATTAAAAGTATAACTCGCATCTCTCATACAAACTGCTACTTACATCTTCATTTATGTAGATACACCTAGGAAAAAAAATTACAACTGCAAAACACAATATCTGCAGGCTGGATAACTGAATCATTGTGAAAATTAATACTACAAAATGTGAAAATGTGACACTAAGTTACCTCTAGCCAATTACATGATAATGTGCTTTTGTATATTTATTTGAACTTAACAACTTAGTACAATCAGTTTTACACATCTGCCTCAAAGGAAATTCAACACAGATTACGTGAATTAAAATGCTATACCATTCTATCGATTAGCAAAATTTTTACAATGTTATATATATAAACACATGCATATAAACAAAGGTACAAGTTTCACAAGGACTTCATAATTTCAATTGTTTTTGTACTTATAAAGACATTCTATAAAAGTATTTCAATCTCATTTCCCTAGTCACAATTTATCAGTACCATATCTTCACTGACATTTGTTCACATAAATAGTACAATATATCAATATGTAAAAAAAAATCCATGAAATCCTGTTTTGTTGTTGACTTATATTACCTTTAATTGCTATAAACATACTGAACTGTTGTTTGTAATGTAGTTTTGAGCTTTTAAACTTTCTAGAGTTTAAAATTATAGTTTTAAAAGAAAATATTAGTGCACAATCTTCAAAATACACCAGCAGTTTCATACATTTAACAATGCAATCTTAATAAAAAAGCAACTGTCATCTTTCAACTACAAGCTATAACTGAAAACTAATCAGATATTCTACAATTTATAAGGTTGATTAGAAGCAGAAACAGAATGAACAAACATAATTGACTAAAATGTGTATTTCACCTTTTGAGAAATATGGCACACTAACTATATTTACTTTTATAAGAAACAACATAATAAAATAAACTAAACTTGTAGGAATCTGTTTAGCATTCCTGTCATGATTCTGTTCCTTCACTTTGGTCTGTCTCATTCTCTGTTTTCAACTGCATAGCTATGGACTGTAGGGTTGATGAAAGTAACAGAAGATGTCGACTGTGTTCCTGCTTGAGAAGCTATAATACAATAAATACATGTATAATGTTGAATTTAACTTCAACTTTAATGTGATACAAAAACACCAATTCAGAAATATCTTCACCAAGATTGGCTAAGGGTTCATCTAACACAAACATAAGATATCAAACAGAATGTGCCAGTTATACCTCAGAAATGGTAAAAAATGTAGCTTTAATTGGATATCATTGTTTTGTTCAACACTAATGATTATTAGCATACTATGCATTCTTCATATATATATATAAGCTATATGTGAAACAAGTCTAGTTTGTATCAATGCTTAAAATAGCATATATCTATTAATTGTCTGTCACACACATTTCATTTCAGTCACAGCCATAGATAAATAAATACTCTTATATAATTTACTGTAACATTAAAAGCTTCATATGCAAATACATGTATTATCTGACTGTGAATACGGATTTTTTGTCCTTTACATAATGAGGGAAATATAACAGAAAGGAATGAGCTATACAAGATATAAATAAACTGTCATATTCTATTCAGAAACTAATATCATTTATTTAAGATGAATAGCAGTTAAATTATTTTCAAAGTACTGATGTCAGTAATATGTTTTAAATGTAATTTTTTTCTTTTTTTTCCCCCATTTCCTAGTGAAATAAAATAGATGAGTCACCTACACGTAAGACACTATGAACAACAGATGATAGTGAGGAAACCTACATCATATGCTCAAAAATATCTCCTTTGAATGAATGTACAAACCCAAAAGACCCCGACTCTATTGAGGCTCTTTTCAAGGCAGCAGAAATACAAGACTTTCATCATATTCTGTGCCTCAAATCAAGCTTTCTCAAAGTTAAAATATACTACCATAAACATTATTGATCTATATTTACACATAAAAAGACAGTGGAAATATAGCAAGACAAGGAAATTCAATATTCTGTATCCAGCACCAAAGCCAGAAAATCTTCTCGAACCTTAAGTACTGTTTCCACTGCCCATGTTTATCATGAAATTTGTATATTCTGTGGAAATAAAAGCAACTATATCAAAGGATCCAAGTCTAGGGAAAACCTTTCTCAATGCAGAGACTTTCATTCAGATGAAAAGGTGCACAATTTACTCACAGTAGAAGGGGATCAAAGAAATATGTCAATTGTATCAAAAATATTAGTGACTTTTGAAGCCTACTACTGCAAGTCATGTTATCAAGATTTACAATAGAAAAGAAACAACAGAGTGAAAAAGTTTTCAGATCCATAGCAAGATTATTATAAAGCTGAACAGCTTGCATATGAGAACTTATATGACCACATCAGAAGTACTTTGTTTATATCAGCAGATGTTGAGAAAATAACAACTATGTCAGAGTCACTCATGACATTAATGGACTATGTTGGCTACAGTGCCAGATATATCAAACTGAAAACCAAAGAGCACATATGAAGAAAACTTGAGTCTGAGTTTGAATATTCCCTACAAATTTTCTCAGATGGCAATGGAAAGTTATAATTTTCCTATACTGAAAATGTATTTCCGATAGGTACTTACCTCCAATCACATAAATAGCTTTTATCATTCAGTGCTCTCCTCTATATGTAAAAAAAAAGTTCACGCATGCTACAAGCCTTCTGCTTCCCCTCCATTGGAAATGACTCATTCTAATGTGTCTGTCATGCAAATTATCATGCAACAACTCTCCACCAATGAGAATGCCACACACACTCATTATGCATGTGACTCCCTCTACTCATTTCTACCAGACTATCAGTTTGAGTTTTGGTAGAAAATGGAAGTACCGTCTTTCAGTGGGGAGGAAGTGTGAGAAAAGGTAAGTAAGTTACCTCTTCTCACATAAATAGCTAGAATCCCACATTGAATAGGTGAAGGAACTGATGCAAAGGAAGAAAAAAAATGCATCCTTCAAAAGCATCCAAAGGACAAACCTTGAGTCGGGGAGTCAATTTGAAAATCTGACGTGGGAGACTGCACCATGTCTGAACCAAGTATAATCTTTGCCCATCAGAAAAAGGTGTGTTATATATATGGGTGGAAAAAACAAAGGAGCACATCCAAGTAGTGTGGGATAAAACAATGGAAGTGCCCCCAGGTGTAGAGTGGCTAGGGCACGACGGACGGCACTCAGCAAGTTAACTACATCCAAAACCCATGTCGCTGGGAACCAACATCCATGCAGGGGTAGGATGAGGATCATACTGTCTTTAACTCAAGTTCAAGAGACAAGAGAGGGTCTCAAATCCCTCTGACTCTGTAACAGGGCACATATTAGGAATAGAAAATGATTTATCTATCTGGGAGCCCGACATCCGGTATCAAAAAGATGTCTACCATAGAGAAATCAACCCAGATGCAACAACATCCTCGGAATAAGATACATCAAGGGAAAGAACAGTAAAAACCCAAGTAACATTAACCAAGATGATTGACATTTATTGTTTGCCAAGCTTGTGACTTGTGCAATTATGCACTCTTCAGACAAAAGTAACATTGCATCAACATATTTGCATATTGATTTAAGGATCTTTAAATGATTAATTTCCCCATATTTAGCAGTATCCTCCAATAATGGTATTTTATATTGTAATGAATGAAATGTAACTAAACTTTTGGTGTGCAGTGTCAGTCAATATTTTAATTAAGAAACTACAACAGATAGAATAAAAAAATGTTTAATAATTATAGCACTAGTTAATATTTCATATTTGAGCATTAGAAAGTATTTTAGTTCTCTTTCCTATATACTCTACTTTGTCACACTGATCCAACATTTCTTTTCAACAAACCAAGAAATGCATTTGACAGTACCCTAAGTTTACCCTGAATTTCTGACCTTAAGCTACTATGCGCACATTTCCATCATGCATATATACAATTATCATAAAATCATAATAAAGTTTAGAGCCCTCCAATAGTACCAAATGACCAAATTTAGGGCTTTGGTTAATGTACTAATTAAAGCTTCTACAGTGTCTAATCACTTTAAAATAAATTTGCAGCAAAAAATGGTGTTGTTGAGAAGAAATACTTTAACTGTATTATTAAAATTTGTTTCTTCTAACAGTAATTCTTTAGTAGTTTTAAGACATTTTATTTTAGTGACTGATGTATTTTGCATGTTCTAAAAAATATAAACTTCAAAGGTACATTCATTTTTATTTTGATAACTAACTTAGTGAAAAAAGGTAGGCTTAGCTTAGTTTACTAAGATACACATTCCAAGTGCTACTGTTAACAGTTAACACCACACATATGGCCTCAAATGCAAAACTTCTGTTAGGCAGTTTCAAGAACCTCAACTCCACATATAAAAGACAAAACAGGACATCAAATTTCTCAAGAAATGTCATAAAAATGATCTCGTCCCATGGTTCCTAAACTGCTCACTAACTTCTCCAAATGACCATTCTTGGAAGATCATCAATGCCATGCAATTCAAAGTATTACGTGAACATATTCATGTTAAATACATTCTCTTTCCAGACTAATACAAATTTAATTACAACTGCATTCCACACTGAAGTCAAATTTGCTTTGCATAGAACAGAGCTTCAACAATGTTACATTGTTAAACTGACCATCAATAACTTAAATCACACTGTCACTACAAGACATGGAAAGAAGTTCCAGTTACTAAAAAAACAGTTCCGAGAATTCCATTCTTCAGCAAATCAACACCAACAAAATCTGGTAAGAAAAACAAGTTTTCAACTTTCCAGAGATGAATTTGAGCTGGTTGCTCTAAAACAATTTCCTCTTTTAGATCTAAAAACTGGTATGGAAGATTGCTAGAGAAATTGCATTCCAAGATAAATTTAAAATCAAGTTTTATCCACAAATCTTTTACGAGCCAAATAGCACTGATAACTCCACTCTTCCATCTAATGTCGCTGAAATAACTAACATTCTAAAAAATCCTGCAGTTCCATTCTCCAAATAATCCTACTTCAAATTTGTTCAGTTTTTTCAGCTTATACTCAAACAATAATCAATAAATTTCACAAAGTTAAACTGAACCTGGAATCTTATAAAATTAAGGTTCTAAAATCCTCAGAAAGAGAAGACAACATAATTTTGTAAAAAGCAGATAAAGACAACTCTTGTTCTAAACATGGATCATTCTGATAATGTCATGAACTTAATGAACTCAAAATCTTCCAAAACAAAACTAACTTCACCTCATTGAACACAGACTTAACACCTTCCTGTGAAAGGAAACTCAATGCATTTCTAATTCAGCTAAAAAAAAAAAGATTATTTAAATTTCAAATGATCTTTATAACTTTCTCAGAGATCAACTGGTTCAAGAACCCTAAATGTTTATGATCTTCCCAAAGTTCATAAATCTGGTTTCCCTCTATGACCCATTGTCTCTGCTTACAGAGCCTTTAATTTCAACTTAGGCAAATATTTAGCTTGGCAATTTTCTCCTTATGTCAGCCATGCCTCATCTTTTTTCAAAACATTTAGAAGAACGTGTCATAAAACTGAAAAATTTTGACCTACTTGCAGTTATCAGCAGTTTCAGCATGAAAAGCATGTTCACACAAGTAGCAGTTTCTGAATCAGTGAATTGTACGCTTGATTGTTTTATAAATGACCCATCTCCAAGATCTTTACTTTCTTGTGAAATTCTGAAACAATTTAATCACTTTTGACAACAATTTTCAATTTAAAGGTCTCAATTACAACCAGATCAAAAGACTAAGCATGGGCAATTCCATTGCTCCCATCCTCATGAACATATGCATGATCAAAATTGAAGATCAAGCTATTTCCATCTCCCTTCCTCTAAACATTTTTGGGTAAGATATGTTAATGGTACATTTACTGGCTTCAATGATTTCTCATCTATTGAAGAGTTATTCTCCCACATGAACCTGATTCATACTGGCATTAAATTTATCATGAAGAAAACCATACATTTCCATTCCTAAATGTTCTTGTTAAAATACATTATAATAAGTTCCACACTTCCATTTATCATAAGGACACTCACACAGCTTTACGTGTACATTAGAACTCCAATCATGGCTCCTCAAAAATTAAGTATCTTAAAAACTCTATCATTCTATCAAGACTATTTGTTCCAGTAATTAACATTTTCAATCAAGCCTCAGCAAATTCGAAAAACATTATTAGTAACACAAAAAGTTTTCCTCTAGAACATGTTAACAATGTCTTCTCTAAACCATAAAATTATAAGAAAATGGATGTGAAAATCTTAACATTTGAAACTTTAAATATAATTAAATTGAAGATATTGTGATAAACTGTGCACTCCAAAAAAAAAATGAAATATTCATTTTATATCATACTTTTTAACATTTTTTTCACTATAAATTAGTGATTTCACTACAGTCAGTGTCAAGGCAGAGAAAATATAAAGTTTTGCTGAAAAATATATTTTTATAATCACATAGGAGATTACACAAATGGTATATACAAACTATAAGGTGAAATGTTTTTACTCTTATGGTGAAAGTCACTTTTACTCAGGTTGACTCAGTAAATCATTTGAAAATTCACAGAAAATCTTTATTAAAAATACTTTATTAGAAAAATCAGATTTTTTTATGTATAACAGACTTAAAAATGCTTACTAAAAGCTAATAAAATTTTGTTAAAATGTATTTAGAACCATCAGTTATAATATGTTTAGTTTCGTGGTTACAAGGTCAGTCAAATTGACTGGCTCTTATTTAAAGGGTTAAAGAAGCATTCTTTTCCAACTTATCCTGAAACCATTCTCCTACATAAATTGCTCACTATCTTATTTTTTCAGGTGTAAATATTAAAACTTCCAACTTTATTAAGTTCTGCCCAAACCTACCTTTCTTTGCTCCACTGAATTTGTAAATAAGTCTTTTTTAAACTTTTCCAGCAACTCAGGAATAGGAAGGTTCTGATTATTCATGAAATGGTTACCAACAGCATCCTAAGAATCAGAATATCCTTTTCAGTCTCTAACCTCACACTTCTAATAAGTAAATATCACAAGAGAGAGAGATAATAATGATAACAGTTAACAAAAAGATATATTTCAAAAATGTGGTTAATGTAGCATGGTCATTACGTGACAGGCAAAACAATGCCACACTACTAAAACCAAAAGATAGAAAGACTATGATACAAACACTAATATAATTTTGCTTAATAGTGCTCAAGAATGTCCAACTATTTTAGAAAAGTCAGGTCCTAGGTCACTGATAAATTTTTCCCACTTTATGTTTTTTTTCTTTACAATTTACAGCTGGAAGTGATGGGTAATACAATTGGAAAAATTAAACATCAAAAGAAATGTGTTAATGAAAATCAACCATGTTGGAATTCATTGGATGTATAATATGGAACTTTCTGATCAACAAAACAAAAAAAATTGAAAACAAAAGTATTTTTAATGTTTTTCAAAAAAATGTCTCAAGTATATTTTGGCATTTCATGACAAAAAATTAAATGAAACACTACATCAAATTACTTGAATTTTCTAAAGCCAAAACTAGATTCTATTAAGTTTGTTCTAAGTTTCGTGCAGTTTTTGTTTATTCATGATAAAAGATGAAAAATTAAATTTTTAACAGTACATCAACTGATGAACTAGTTTAATTCAGGCCTTAAGTCACAAATTAAAAAGGTTCCTTCGATACATAGCCTTCTCTCATCATAGCATTTGGATTGAATTTGGAACTTAGATGCTGTTAAAAATATTTGTTCAATATCTTGGTTCAATACATATAAAATGAATATATACATAAATAATTAAATAACTTTAAAAAATTCTAAAATCATACAAGAATATTTAGAAGAAGTTGGAAGTATCAAACTATACTTCCACAATATACCTAAAAAAGCAATATCAACAGTATTACCCTACACTGGCAGACATGTGAAATTAATGAAGAAACAAGACTACAAGCTTTTTGAACAACTTATCCACAGATAGATTTATGTCCAATTTTTTTACTAGAACAACGATTACAAAACTTCACCAGATTTAAGGACAGAATAAAGTCTCTAATAACACCTAATGTTGTTTACGAATATACATTTCCTAGATGTAGTTCAAGGTATATTGGGTCTACCATCACAGCTGGATAAAAACAAGTACAAGAACATGCAGACTTGTCAAGTGTAAAAAAAATAGAATAAATCTAGTTATCCCAGATTGTGACAGAGTAATACATCTATCTAATTCAAGATTATTTCAAAATGCTACAATGAGAGTAGTCTATGTATTGGAGACATTTTTTATTCATAAATTAACCCTATGCAGGGTCACTCTATGCATGTCATCAGTTTAAAAAATTGCATCAACCTTCACTCTTTTGTGTAATGTGACATGTCTGTGCTTTGATTTTTCCCTTTCAGAATTTTCTAATATCATAAATAGGTTGCCAAGACTTACAACTAATTAGAATCATAAACTATGCATAACGAACAGCAAGAATATAAAAGTTTAAGCTATGATCTTCTTGATTTGCTAAGGTATCAATAAATTTGTAAAATCCACGACAGAAGCCCCTCCCATTTTTTCATGCATTTCAAGCCAATTATCTAAGCCATATCTACTTGTTTAAAGAACTTGTTTATAAGCACCAGAAAAAGCTTATTATAATATACAGAAATCTTAAGACCATTTTTTTTTTATAACTGATGGTTACAGATGAAAGTTCGAAAAAAAAAGTACAATTAGTAAAACATGGCATTCAAGTTTAAACAGGCCTCAACAAGTAAGTGCTAAATATCTTGTTTTTATGTAAAAACAAATGTAAACATGAAAGAATTTTTAGACTGGGTAATAAAAGTAACTTAACATTCTATGAGCTGAAGAACTCAAGCTTGAAAGCTCAAAGTATGTGTAGTTTAATCAGTTTACTTTATCAGTGGAGAGATTAATCACTTTCACAGATTATTAAACAGCTTCCCTGGAACAAAGTCCAGCAATAACCCAATAAAATTAAAAGAAAAAATGTGAAAAGGTTAGCAGTTGAAATTGTGAAGATATTTAAACTGAAGATATAGCAACAAATAATGTAATCAAAGAAAAAGGATATTATTCATTTTATTTTATATTTTTCAACTTCTCATTTCACTAAAAAACCAATAACAACAACAAAAACTTTTGATATTAATTTAATGGTCTAGAAGTTACATTATTGAAAAGTATTTTTATTCTTGACATGAAAATCACCTCACATTCAGACTGATTCAGTAAATGCTTCATAATTCACAAATCTTTAGTACAAATAATTCTGATTTTGTATAGAACAAAATTATAATGTTTACAAAAATCTTGCCTAATTTTGTGAAGATACATTAGATAAATTCATAGTTACTGTATGTATACTTATACATTACCAGGGTGGGTCAAAAAGAGTTAAGATTTGAATTAAATGTTCATACAGTGTTGGTTAAGTATTTCCAATGTCAGTAGGAAAAATCAGAGATACCAGAAAGGATTAAAGAAAACTAAGGTTGTTGGAAATGGTAATAAATAAGCAATTTAATGTGTCATAGAAAGAAAGCTTATTTCAATGATTTATGTTGTATGATAATACTTTTGTTTATAATTAGGGCTTGGGTAAGTGTGTGGAGAACAACATTAACTTAGGAAGAACCACAAATAGATGAAAAAATAGGGGATGAAAAAACATTGCAATAGCAAAAAAAAAAGTGAAATACATTCTTCAAGGCCACCCAATAGCCTGCAATGGTAGAAAATTACAACCCTTGTTTCAACAACCAGGTAAAAAAGGCCAAAATGTGCATCAACAGCAGGAAAGCCCGATGGCTGAAAGTGGTGAATTATACAGCTGCAACAATCACAGCACTTGCATTGATAGAGAGTAAAAGGGTGATAATAGGATAAAAAAGAGTTACATAGTCTGAGAAATGTGTGAAGAAGAAGGGACAACACTCCCAAATGAAAGAAATATGTATGAGGTTGGAGCAAGAGTGATAAAGACAGAAGTAAAGGAATAGGTGCTATTATTACCAGTCCATGGAAAAGAGGAAACCAAGACACAGAGAAAAAATGGTGCCACCAAAAAGAAAAAGCAAACAAGGAGTATCACAAATCAAAACAAAAGGCAGAGAGTGTATACAGAGAAAAGATGAGCCCAGTCCAGTGACCAGAAGCTTGTTACTAAGAAGACTGGCAAGATCATCAGTCATTAGCATGCCCAATTAGGAACAGAACCAATGATCCACCTGAAAATGAAGTGACAATTTCTTATAAAGAATCTTGTTTGGTTGAGTCAATCTGCCCCCAAGACATGACAGGCTATCAGATGAAGCTGATGTGAGTGGGCCCATAAGAAAAAATCCAATGTGCAAGGTCTCTGGAGCAAGTACCACCCTGACAACTGATATCAGAAACAACTGTATAACTATCAGTGGATCATAACCAAGTGATCCACAAGATGTGGGATGAAACAGATGAACACCCAATATGCTGCCAAGAGTTCCTGATCATTGATGTGGAAGGCACACTCCACAAAAGACCAAATGCCCAAGGCAGAGGAGTCATCCAGAGACATGTCCAAACCTCTAAGAGATGCACTGGTGAAGAGATGGAAATCTGGATGGGAGGTGGTAGTGTGATGCCAACAACAGCATTGGCACAATCCAGCCACCAGAGGACAGAGGATAGCGAGAGATATTCCACTGGTTGCTCAAAGTCCATTGAAGAAGCCTCCTGTAAGCTTGGCCTAGAGGGACAAGTGGTTCTATAAATGCAAGAGTCCCTAAAACACATATAACCTCCTGCACAGAAAGTATAGAAAAAGGTAAGAGTTCCATGTCTTGCAGATGAATGGGAAGAGGCTAAGCCCAACTGCATCAAGAATAGAAAAACTATAATTACTAAGTTGGAGCCAGGACAACTTGAAAAACTTGCCCAGCAAACCTAAACAAGCAGCCTCTTGGAGAGATGATGTGGTCATGGTCCTTCCATGAAGTGGTGATTAGGAGCCAATTGTCCATATAATAATGGAATGAAGTTCAAAACTGTGGATGTGGTGAGCAAACACTCCCATGACTCAGTTGAAGACATAAGGAGCCAAAACTATACTGAAGGAGAGAACTTGAAAGTGGTACACCAGATCCCTGTGTGCAAAGCAAAAGAAGGGTTGGGAGGACAGGGTAATCAGAATATGTAGAATGGCATTCAAGACACTGACCTTTGTCATCCATAGTTTCAAGGATAAGAGAAATGGAGTAGAAGATACCCCCTCCATCTCGAACTGAGTAGCCACCAGATAGTGATTGAGAAAAAAAAGTCAACAAGGGAACACAAATCCCCAGTCTTTGTGGAGACAACAAAAAGAAGGAGATAAAATCCTGAAAAGGGGAAACGACCCTTTCAATGGCTCTCAAATCCCAAAAGATACAAATACAATGGCCTTGAGATACAGAAGAAGCTGAGGATCAGAAGCAGGAGTAAAAGAGACAAGAAAAGCGGACAGAGGAGGATGAGACAAGAAATGAAGAGAAAGGCCGTGTGTAAGAAAGTTTATGACCCACTGGTTAGCTGCAAAAGGAGGCCAGAGGTCTGCAAACAGAAAGAGACCTGCCCCCACAAGACCAGAGCTGAATGAGTAAAATGAGAGGGAGTCACTGACAGAAACTGCAGTGGTCAACCCAATGGGAAGGGGATGGCATGAAGAGAGAGAGGGACAAGAAAGAGGTGGAGAGTTCACCTGGTCAAGAAACAGAAATGTAAGAAAGGAGAAACCACAAGAAGGAAAGGGAGGACTGATGATGAGCAGATTGCCTTCTAAAATCATGAAAGCAAAGGCTTCACAAAGTGATTTATACAGAGTTTTCAGTAGTGGTACCAAAACAGGAAATAATAATATACAATTGAATGATAAAGGCAATCAGACAGAAGCAAGTATTTATCACAGACAGAGGAATCTGAGACAGGATAAGACCATCCCATTCATACCAGTAGTAATCAAAACAATCATGATGCTCATAGCAACAAGTCTAACTCTCAGACTACTGTTACATCAATTACTGGTACCTCATCATGATACAATAAGAGGAAAAGGTCATTCAAAACATATTGGACAAGTGAATATGGATGTGTCAAGTATGATAATGAAGAAGGTGTTATGTTCTGTGAACATTGTTGAAAATTTCCAAAACTTCCTGAAAGAGAAGACCAAAGTAACTGTTGATAGCATGCAAGATTTTGAAAAGACACATTAAAATTCCATCAGAAAAGTAGAGCACATGTGAAATGTAGTGAAGCAATCAAAGCAATAGCTGCACCAAAGACAATTCCCATGGACAAAGTAATGAGGCACATGAACGTAGACAATATTAAAAAATTTACTTATTTGTTCAACACTACATATTATATCATAGAAATACATATGTCACTCCTAAAAGATGAGACACTTTATGAGCTTCAAAACATAAACAGTGTTTGGACAAAAATTACCTCACTCATCATGACTGCAAATATTTTGTGATGTCCATAGCAGCTGTTATTAAATCAGAAACCATGGAATAGGTTGCTGCTGCTAAATATTTCTCTGTACTTACTGATGGTTCCACTGATGCTGCAATAAGTGTGCAGGAAGCAGTGTGTATTTGTTTTGTGCGTAGTGGTACACCAATCACTAAATTAGCACAGTTCATTGCTACTGATTCATCTACTAATCAAGGTCTGTATGCAGACATAAAACTGCCCTTTCTTCCATTGGAATAAGTCCCAACATTATGTCTGAAAAACAGAATGGCTTGAATCTTGATGGGGAAAGTGTTAACATGAGCCACAAGTCAGGAGTGCAGGTCTTGGCATGTGATGATGTCCCACACACACACACACACTTGTCATCCACTGCATAAATCACAATCTGGAGCTCACTATTTTAGATGTGAAAAAGATACATCTTACCTGGAGATAATCAATGACATACTCAAACTTGTATTCTAGTCCTACTATTACTACTACTACTCACCAAAACACAGAACTATGTAATATTGCTGCAATTCTGGATGATAAATTGGTAAACTATGGACACATACAACAAAATAGATGGATTGCTAGTCAGAAACACGCTTTAAAAGCCCTTTCTCAGAATTTCAAAGCAATTTCAGTACATTTGGAGAATATTGCTGATACTGGTAATTAAAAAAGACAGTGCTGAAGCCCAGAGAATCCTGGGATATGTTCAAACAACAAAATTTGGCAACTTGTTGGACTTTATGATTGATTATAATGCTGCTCTCAGTACCTTATCACAAGAATTTCAAACTGAAGACATGCTCATCACTAAAGTGATTCCAAGATTCCAGTTTAAAGAAGCATGCTTGTTAGACAGTGGTGAGGATACTAATAAAGTTAATTTTGAAAGTGCTCGTGGGGGATCTACTGTGCAAGAAGAATGTTCATGGAGGGACATTTTTGCATGATGATTAGATCATGCATTACTGCAACTTGTGTAAAGTGGGAGATAATTTAAGGCTAGTGGCATGCACAAAATCTAAAAAGCAAATGTAAGAGGAATAGCTATTGTGTGCACAGTGGTAAGCGAATCATTTCAGAAATATAGTTTTGAAAAATACTATCCTTCCTAGCTAAAAGAGGTTGATAACAGACACCATACAAGGCAACAACTGAAAAATAAGCATACAGGTCCATACAAGAAGTCTACAGTTAAATCCTCATGATTTTGAAATCAACCAGAACTTCATCACAGTGCAAAGTTTAGAATAATTTCAAAAGCATCCAGATGAAAAGTATTCAGACATGACAAAGATTCTCATACTTGATGACCTATGGAAGTAGAGACCATTAATATGTGAAGCTAATAATGAAAAATCTTAGCCATAAGCTGGAGAGAAAGCAACATATGAACAAAAAAAAATATAGTTAAAACTGAGTCAAAGTTGTTCATTCCTGAAAGATGTTGATGAACAAGGTAATGTCTGTATAAAAATTAATCATATATTATATAAAATATAAAGAAGGTGAATCAAAAATAACAGTTGATGAATGTAAAATCAGCACCAAAATCTCAAACAAGTTATAGCATAGAAAAGAAAGTCATGGTTCAAAGGTGTAAGGTCTTAAGTGTCCAAAGAAAGAAAGAATGTATTTGAAAAAAATTAATGTATTTCTCCATCCTGACCATTGATACTTGAGCAAATAAACAATCAGGTTTTAAAATATAAGATTCACCTAAATGGGGTAAAATAAAATAAGTGTGAGTCCAAGAAGCCTCAACCACATATTGTATAGGCATAATGATCAGTCTAATAACAAACAAATAGGGAATATATATATATATATATATATATACATTACATATTATGTATATAGGATATTTTATGAAGGAGTAGAAGTATGGAAAGAGCTTAACAGACTCAATCTAAAACAAGAGGAAATCCTCAATAGCCATGGCATTTGAAATTCTTTTAGGCAGGATTAGAGTAGCTTAATCTACGAGACCTTTTTTTTTCCTTTTATTAGCTATATTTTTGTGAACCAGCAATACCAAGCATGGAGCATGCATATACCTGATTCAATTTCATCACTCATCAGGATCTATACCAGTCTACCCTTAAATTGAATTTTGTTTAAGGCAGGATTAGAGTAAAGTAATATTTGTGACCTTAGACATGGTCAAATACATCAATTGAAAGAATTTGATTTCCTGAGTCTAAAACTGTAATTAGATCTCAAATCGATCAAGAGATGATGGAGTATGATCTAAAAGTCTGTACTTGAAAATCTCAGAGCCATTCTATGAGCCCCTATGCCGTGGCTAAAAAATATTATAAAAATTATTATTTTTTTAACTGCCAATTTGGTAGACCAAACTTCAATATAAAATAAACATTCACACAGTATAGACATGTTATATTTTATTGTGTGATTCTGCAGTATATACTAAAAAAGTACCTATTAAACAATACAGAAATACATTAAATGCATGTAGAATACTTCTATTTGACTGGCCCAGTAGGAAAAACAAAGCAAAAACATTTCATAATTTACCAGTAATGTTTATTTTTGTGATTCAGTAAACAAAAGTTAAAATTCAGCATACATGAATATTTCACTATTTGAAATCATATAAACAGACCACATTATGTTTCTGGAAGAACTATGCATTAAGAAGTTATATATTTAAGTAATATTATCATAAACATGTTTATAAGTTTACATGTTATGAAATAGTTCATTTGGGGTTGACTGATACTTTCAGTATAACATACTGTACAAACTTAGAATGTTTCTAAATGGTTTACACAGTTTGCTTGCTTTTCAAAAATGTAAAAAACTCACCTTTATTAATGACATTATGTTACAAGATATTTCTTCAAAACATGTTTTTGTACACTTCTCAACAAAAACACAAAAACTATTCATGTTTTCACACTGCTGACCCTGTAGCCTCTGTTCTAGCTTCTGAAACTCCTCTTGTAGCTGACCATGAAATGCTTCTTGCTGGGATTACAAAACAATTTTTAAAACATCAGAGATTTTAGTGTAAATACATGCAAATGAGTTTATAAATATACAGTGTCAGAGTTCAGATGAGTAACTTATGCAAAAATCTATGTAATTCTTAAACATTTAGAATTTCATGCTAAGTCAGATAGCCACAAATGCAAATCTGTTGGTTGACACTGCAATTTACATTGTAGCAAGCTTATGCAGAACAAAAAAAAAGTAAGTCAATCTTAGATCACACATCTTCATACTGTTGTTATTGTAGTTTCTTTGATTATATTTCTCATGAAAATAGCCTTTAATTATGAATTGTGGCTAGAAGCTAGTGAGCCTTTGTCAAATTCAAATCCATGTTTATTATTGTATAACTATAAAGTATGACTAGATTCATTCCAATGGTTTTCGAAGTCATTTCATCCTTTCTTTTAACTATAACTTTCATTTTGCATATAAGGATATTATTACAGATTGGACTGCAGTATAGTTTTGAATCTAATAGCTATCTTAAATGCAATTTTGTGCAAGCTATTCACCTCCATTGAAAGCATCAAAAATTCCTTCATCCAAATATTTCACTTAGCTCTACACTGCTTAGAACCTTACTATAGAAATATTTCTACTTAGAAAAAGCTGTGAAACTTTTCACCAGTCATTATATCCTGGTTGTACTTCCCAGTTAAATGATCAAAAATTCATCATGAATTAAATATTATAATTGCTACACTCAAGGAACCATAGTTTGCATTGGCACATCCTTTTTTAACAAAAATGTAGTTAACCTTTAGTACAAAATGATTGAGACTTTAATTTGTATGTGTATATATATATATATATATATAACAAGTCTGTTCAATGATCAACTGAACCCTCATTAACACTTTGGTTTCTACAATTAATGCTATAGGCATAGGTATGTTAAAGTGTGCACATCACAATATTTTACAAATACATTAAAAATTTACTTGACTTTATTATCAACTTATGTCAATAAACTTGGCATAGAAATGTAGTTAATAAATTATAATTCAATATCATCTAAGTTTTAATTTTATAATTTCAAAAGGATATAGATACTGGTAGGACAAAATCTAAATTTATAGTCTCCAATCATCTTGATTCACAGGTATAAACCAAAATGTCAAACCCACTTGCAAGCCTTCCTACCACATACATAGGGTGAACTTTTATTTAGACTGAGAGCAAAATGTACAAGATCCACATTATACATACTAAAGATCTTGACTTTTATGTATATATATATTTCATCATTATAAAAGTAACTCGATTGTAAAAATTGTAAATTTATCAGGTTAAATAAAAAAAAGTAAATGCTAAATAAATAAAAATCCTCTTTGAGGAATGCTTGTGAGCTGTACATGCATTATGTAACTCAACAAGGCTGAATTGGGCATCAAATCATAAACAGTGGTATGAACAAATAGGGATATATGCTATTTAAAATTAATCTATGTTTGAACTGTTTGACAACAATCAATGATAGTTTGTTCAAAGGTAGAGAAAAATGGATGATAGTCAATGCAGATCTACAGAGAAGCATGATTAGGGATCAGTACAATTTTAGAAGTGTATTTCAGCCAATGGTGTCAACCCACATAAAATTGACTGCATCCCAACTGCTGAGAAGCAAAGATAGTTTCTCATCCATCATGCCATTTTCTCAGGAAGAAGATTCATCTTCTAACAACAAAATGATTTCAAGCATACTTCAAATGTGGTGAAACAATATCTTGAAGATACAGAGGCCAATAGAACACTCATAACCATAACTTGACCAGCAGAAAGACTCAAAATGAATATTCTTGAGGCCTTATTGGCTTCCGTAAAAACTGAGGTCAAAAGGCAACTAAAAACCTAGGCTGAATTGTGGGGAGTAATAAAAGATATTTGGAACAATATTATACAATTGTACACTGGTAGACTATTTCATCTTGAAAATAAGGTGCAATACTCTATACAAAGAACAGTTGTTTCATGGGCATTTGAACCATATTATGAAACTGGAAAAGTCTGAATGATAGAACTGGAAAAGTCTGAATGATAGAACTGGTAACAATACACCACAAGCTATCAAAAACCTAAATTCTGAATCTTTAACACATACAAAAGCACAATCTATCACTCTGTCTAAATCTTGTTTCAACACTAAGTAACTTTTCAATCATCAACATCACAGCTTCCATAGAAAAAGAAGCTCAAGAACAGTAACAGAAGGTAATGAGCTCAAACTTCCACATGCTCAGCTCTCCAGAAACACAAACCAACAACAAAATATACTCAATAATGAGCTGCCATTCAAAACTTGCAAGAAGGTTCCTCAATACATTTTACATACAGACCAAGAAATCTGCCCCCTAACATTAAAAAAGGACAGATTGTGAAGAAAAACTACAAACATCAGTCCAGATAGAACATTACTAAAAACTGAAAAATGACACATACACAAAAGGGAAATCAGCAAAATTATCAAGTGCTTAAAACCTGGCAACTATTAAATGTTAGTTAACAATGTATGTAAGCCTCCACAACAATATGGATTACCAAAAATACAAAAGGCTGATGTTCCCATTCATACTAATAGTAAATGCCACATATTCACTTTGCAATTGCATGGCACAATTTTTAGCTAAAAATACTCAACCCACTGACTGTTAATTATCCAAATAAAGTAAAAACATACAGAATCCTTCATAGAACTAACTAGAACTTTCACATTTCATCCATGTGACGTTCTGGCTAGCTTTTATCATTATTTTTCCCAGCATTTTGGACATCCTCATTCATACAAAAGATGATCACCTCACCATTACTATACATAAATAACTATAGTAACTACAAGTTCAATGATTTACAATCTGAAAATTTTTTATGGGGACCAAATTGAAGAACTTCACAGAAAACTTATTGAAAAAACAATGATTACCCTAACAACAAGACCAGCATAAAAACAAAATTACCTTACCAAAAAATGTCATAAATTCAACATACGAGGTCATTTCTTATCTGAAAAATCCCTCCAAGACACGATAATGAAAGTGGCACAACCCATCAGAAAGTTAAAACAAAAAGTACTTATCTACAAAGTACTGTTAGTGTGGAAATACATACTTCAGAGAAAAAAGTTAAACCAGAAAAAAAATTTAGATTCAGATAGACTGACATTTCTGGAAAAATCAGCATACACAGAATGTAATTTCAAAACAGAACATATAATCTTTGAGAAGCATCAAATTCTGGACATGGTTCATCACTGAAAAAACAGAAAAATTATGTCAATATACACTCAACCAAGATCATGACTTTGATATCAGCAACCTCTAGAAGTAAAACCTCACCAAACTCCACAAAATAAATCATTATGCCACCCAACACCCTTTCACTCACATAAATAACTAGAATCCAACATTGAATGTGTGGAGGGATCAGTGTGAGGAAAAAAAGAAGCATCTTTCGAAAGTGTCCGAAGGACCCCCTAAAAGAGTAGATCCTCACAGTAGAGGATCATTAGTGGGAGACCACACCATTTCTGTACCAAGTATACTCATCCTCCAATGTAGAAAGAGGTGTCGCAGATATGGATTGAAATTGGGAGGAGCACACCCGAAAGGGAGAGAACAATGGTTGGATAGGGATCCAAACCACATGATTTTGGAATCTCAATCCCATAGAGTACATCATTGTGGGTGAGAGTAAAATGCCTTTAGATGTAGAGTGGCTAGGGCACAACAGACAACACATAGCCAGTCAACTGCACCCAAAACCCAGCCACCGGGAACCGACATCCATGTGGAGGTAGGAAAGAGGATCATACCGGCAGCAAGTCAACTACAATCCAAAACCCAGCCATCTGGTGGGGGTAGGATAGAAGATCATACTACCTTCGTACCTCCTGATCTATGAATGGGACACATGATAGCAATGTGATAAATTTTTGACCGATCCAGGAACCCGACAACCAGACAATTGGTGTAGTAAAGATGTCTCTGTAATATAAACTTTCTCACTCAAAAACAAACCAACATGAACCATCCCCAGTTCAATAAGATCCTCGGTATAAGAAAATCATAAAGGGATAGCATAAAAGGAAGAACAGTATTAATCTGCAAGTTCCACCACTATGATCCACAACACGAGTGGAGGAAACACCTATAATACATGTGTGAGGACTTATGTTGATTGTTTCAGCTCTGAATCCAAAACCCAGCCACTGGGAACCAACATCTATGTGGAGTAGGATGAGGGATCCCAATCAAAAGGGTAAACTGCAATTTTGACTGCTCATTCAAAGCTACCAAATCCCCTCAGATAAATCTGTACAGAGGTGGGGCATCAGACTGGAGGACATCTTGTCATCTACACCAACAAAATACCACCGCTCTAATCTCAACGGAATAGTTTTTCATTATTCGTATCATATATCATTATCATATTCAGGAGGATGCCTCCATGGTCCACCACCCCAGCAGAAATTGGTAACGACTCCCATACTCCACTGGAAGAAGAGGGGGGAGGGATGTGGTGAAAAGTCCAGAGGAACATCAACACTGGAAACAGTGCAAAGGGTGACCACAAAAAACATATTTTGAAAAGCAGACCATACCTGATTTATTCAATCAAAGGCATGGCAGGAATGGACAGCTTTCTCCTTCTGCTTTACCCATGAAGTTCATAGGTGAGTACAGTCTGGAACAGGCATATGAATGAAGCAAATATAGAGAGGAAAACCTACGAGTGATCTTGTGAAATACCCCATCTCAACAGTGTGCATTTAGTGGCCATGGAAATTATAATTGTTAAGTCATTATGGCCTTACAGTGTGGACTTGACTAGTTTAAGTATACCTGGACAGGCTCCACTTGCCACAGAGCAGGATCCATAAACAGAAAATGGTACATGCCCCTGAAAAATAAGAGGTATATATATACAAAAAGGTATCTTACCCAGTCACACTGAAGAGTGAAGTATGGTGACAGGTG